TGTATAACACTGGGGTACAGTACCGGTGGGGACAGGTCTGTCACTGTCTAACACTGGGGTACAGTACCGGTGGGGATAGGTCTGTCGCTGTATAACACTGGGGTACAGTACCGGTGGGGATAGGTCTGTCGCTGTATAACACTGGGGTACAGTACTGGGTGGGGATAGGTCTGTCGCTGTATAACACTGGGGTACAGTACTGGTGGGGATAGGTCTGTCGCTGTATAACACTGGGGTACAGTACTGGTGGGGATGTCCGTTAATGGAGATGTACAAGTTTATAGCTAACTGTTTGGGGAATGTATGTTACTGTGGTTGTGTCTGAGTTTGTCAACATGACGAGAAAAGTGATTCAGACAAGACGTGTAGCCAGAGGATAGTGAGAAGTTAATTGCTGCAGGCCAGTTGGAAGTTTTAATTGTCCCTTGGGACTGCTGAACTCTATTTGTTTCCCCAGGATAATATCTTGAAGTTGAGTTTTGATTTGAACCAGCCCTTGCTTGTTTAAACTCGAGTGTGACACACCCCACAATATTTCTGTTACTTTGGGTTTGCGGCGGAGGGTGTGTCCCTTTGACAGAGGAAGCCAGACCCAGTGACATTACTGAGCTCTGGTTTGTCCTCTGCTTCTGAAATGCAGCCCCTGAAGCGAGTGGGGTGGCAATGTGATACTTCCTTGTTTTGGACAGGGCTGAATGGCCTCTGCCTTTTCCAGTGTAACAGGATCCACATCCACTGATTTCCTCCCTACGGGATTTGATATGCTTTTCTCAAGTCTCATAGAACATGGAACAGTACAGCACAGTACAGGCCCTTCAGCCCACAATGTTGTGCCGAATTTTTACCCTAAACCTAAGGTCTACCTAACCTCCACCCCTACCTTATACTATCATCCATATGCCTATCTAATAGCTGCTTAAATGCCCCTAATGAGGTCGATTCCACTACCCTCTCTGGCAATGCATTCCACGCCCCTACCACTCTCTGAGTAAAGAACCTACCTCTGACGTCTCCCCTATATCTACCTCCACTCACTTTAAAACTGTGCCCCCTTGTAATAGCTACCTCCACCCTAGGAGAAAGTCTCTGGCTGTCCACTCTATCTATACCGCTTATCATTTTGTACACCTCTATCAAGTCACCTCTCATACTTCGTCGTTCTAAAGAGAAAAGCCCTAGCTCTCTCAACCTTTCCTTGTAAGACCTTCCCTCCATTCCAGACAACATCCTGGTAAATCTCCTCTGTACCTTTTCCAACGCTTCCACATCTTTCCTGTAATGAGGTGACCAGAACTGGACACAATACTCCAGATGTGGCCGAACCAGGGTTTTGTATAGCAAAATCTCCTCTGACTCTTCTAAACTTCAGTGGATACAAGCCCAGTCAATCTGACCTTTCCCCATGAAACAACATGTCTCATTCCAAGGATCAGTCTGGGGAAACCTTTCTCTGAACTGGCAGACCTGACGAAAGGGTTTCAGCTTGAAATGCTGACTTGCCTGCTCCTCGGACACTGTCTGACCTGCTGTCCTTTTCCAGCTCCCCACTTATTGACTCTAGCTTCCAGCATCTGCAGTCTGCCTGCTGTCTCCAAATTGCCGATTCTTAGAGTGACTTGACGGAGGGAGGTGTGGAGAGGTGGGCCGCAGCGGTTCAAGAAGGCAGCTCACCACCGCCCCTTCAAGGGCAACTAGGGATAGGCAAGAAATGCTGGGCCCAGCCAGCGATGCCCACATCCCACAAAAATGAATAGAAATAAAAAGGCTTCCCCTTCGTGGGAGAGTCTAGAACATAGAACATAGAGCAGTACATCACAGTACAGGCCCTTCGGCCCACAATGTTGTGCTGAACTTTTACGCTAAATAAGGTCTACCTAACCTCCACCCCTACCTTATACTATCATCCATATGCCTATCTAATAGCCGCTTAAATGCCCCTAATGAGGCCGATTCCACTACCCTCTCTGGCAATGCATTCCACGGCCCGACCACTCTCTGAGTAAAGAACCTACCTCTGACGTCTCCCCTATATCTACCTCCACTCACTTTAAAACTATGCCCCCTCGTAATAGCTACCTCCACCCTAGGAAAAAGTCTCTGGCTGTCCACTTTATCTATAACTCTGATCATTTTGTACACCTATGGGACCTTTATGGACCAGAGGCCATCATCTCCAAGTGAGGAGTTACCTACTGAAGACAGAGATGAGGAGGAGTTTCTTCTCTCAGTGGTGGGGTTGGTGAATCTGTGGGATACGTTACCACAGAGGGCTGTTGAGGCTGCGTTGTTAATGGTATTCAAGACTGAGAGAGAGAATAAAGGAAATGAAGGTTACACAGGGAAGGAAGTCACCTGAGCATAATCAGATCAGGTATGATCTCATTGAATGGTGCAGACATGAGGGGCTGAATGGCCTGTGTTTGTTCTTGTATCTCTCGATCACTTCCTCATTTCGGCTTCACTGTATATTTTCCTGCTTCTGTCATTCCTACCAAACAGACACCCGCCCCGTCCCCTGTTTTTCACTGGCCGGCCAATGCGGTGGCCCTGACAAATGGCCTTTGTTTCTGGTGGCTTGCCCTGCCTCGCCCTGTATTCCCTGGTCAAGGATCGGGAAGCAGAGGATACTCAGTTGTGATTTTGTTGCTTTCCTGTTTCTGTCTTTGCAGATAGTAAGGCGATTGTAGACGGGAACCTGAAGCTGATCCTGGGTTTGATATGGACCCTCATTCTGCATTACTCTATCTCCATGCCGATGTGGGATGAGGAGGACGATGAAGCCAAGAAACAGACCCCGAAGCAGAGGCTGCTGGGATGGATTCAGAACAAATTGCCCGAAATTCCAATCACCAACTTCAGCAAAGACTGGCAAAGTGGGAAAGCCTTGGGTGCCCTGGTGGACAGCTGTGCCCCTGGTGAGGACACCCTCTCTTTCCCTTAGCGCCCTCCGAAACCACAAACCCAAAGCTACACCTCCCCACAATCACTCCTCCCCAATCTCCTTACCTGACCCATCTCCCCCGTCCCTGATCTTGCCCGTTCCCCAGTCTCCCTTGCCCCATTCCCAATTTCCGTCCTCCCCCAAACTCCCCTTCCCCAATATACCACTTCCCCATATCTCTTCCCCAAGCTCCCCGAATCTCCTATCCTGCCCCCCCATCCCCAATTGTCCCCTCCCCAAACTCCCCTTCTCCTGATCCTCCCCCAATCTGCCCCTTCCCCACTCTCCTGTCCTGCCTCCAACACCCCCTCCCAATCTCCTAGGCCTCTCTCCCTCTCTTCATCCCCAAACTCCTTCCTCCCCACACTCCCCAATATCTTGTCCTACCCCCAATCCCCAGGCTGTGTGTGTGATTGGTGACATTGACTGTGATCTATCTCACTCTAGGGCTGTGCCCGGACTGGGAGACCTGGGATGGTACAAAGCCAGTGGAAAATGCCAGGGAAGCCATGCAACAGGCTGATGATTGGCTGGGGATCCCACAGGTAGGTTGGCAAGACTGTGCCAGGAGTGGTTCGTTGTCATTGGTGACTTAGACAGTTACCATGGTCAGTAAGCGGAAGGGAAGATGCTCCTACTGGACTATTCAGGCTTGAGAAATGGGCTGAATGGCCTCCTCCTGCTCCTGTGTAACAGGCTCGAGGAGGGGGCTGAATGGCCTCCTCCTGCTCCTGTGTAACAGGCTCGAGGAGGGGGCTGAATGGCCTCCTCCTGCTCCTGTGTAACAGGCTTTATGAGGGAAAAATAAGAGGCCATCAGCCCCCGCCTCAAGACCCTCCACCCTGTGTCTTTGATCCATTTTCTGTTGGACCTTGTGGGAGTTGAGGGAATGCTGGAGTGGAACAGAGGGCCTCCATGTCAGTTGGTCACCTCCTGTGGACGTCTTTTCTGACTGCCCCTACCAGAAGGGGAGACGAGAGCTGTTTCCCTGGTGACCCCGGGGGGCTTATATTTACCC